ATTCCAAGGGAGTTTGAGTACCGACTCATAGATGGAGCTGGAATTACCAGGCCCCACACAGGCGGTGATGACGAGTCCGTAACAAGGCCTTAGACCCAAACACGCCCACCGCCTCCTCCCCTGTTCCTTTACGTTCTATTCCAAAGAGGCCCCCTCCTGGTTCTCCATCTGGAGTTTCCCCCCTTTCTACCCAGTCAGTCATGTCTCCTGTGTCTTCTTTCCCTTTCCCCGATCCTCTGCGAACGAGCGTCCGCACGTTCATTTAAAAAGACACCAATATGGCTGGGAACCCAACAAAACTCCTCTGTCTTAAATCTACTGGAGATAAGAAACGGCCAATGTTGAATCTCGACTACCACCGGATGGACTGGATTAAATGACTCCAGAGCCATGAGGGTACTGCGAGAGTCAACTACAACCACAAAGGAGGACTGACAGCGAGAGAGCAATAGGTGAAGAGCATAGAGAATAGCATAAAGTTTTGCCATGAAGATGCTAGTCTCCGGAGGCAGGCGACACATGTAGGTGTGGCCAGGAAAAACAATAGAGTAGCCTACACCGTCTGCAGACTTAGACCCATTGGTGAAGATGGAAATGGAGCAGGAGTGTGAAGAGAAGTGCTCAAGAAAAAGGCGTTTCAGAACTGTGGGAGGTGTAAAAGCTTTAGTCACGTGGGTCAATGTTTTACAAAATTTAGGAAGAGGGACCCTCCACAGGGGCAAAGACGCAACGACACGAGGAGAAATATTAGTAACACGAACCAAAAGAGCATCTTGTAAGTGAAACAACCGTACAGAAAGAGGTAGGTCGTGAAGGGGAACAGGAATCACAGGAGGGGTAATGGTCAAGGCACGACAAGCGAGAGTGAGCTAGGGTGTTGTGAGGACCGAGCAAAGTAGCGAAGACAGTAGCGATCACGGCGATCCTGTAGAGACAGGACACCAGTTTCAACATACAGGCTGAGGGTAGAAGTCGAACGAAAGGCACCAGCGCTGAGGTGTAACCTAGTATGGTGCAGAGCGTCAAGACGGCGAAGAGTAGACGTCTGCGTTGCCCTGCAGACGAGTAAGCAGGGCAACCATAATCGAGTTTAGACAGAACGAGAGAGGAATACAAAGAGAGAAGCGTGCGCCTATCGGCTCCACAAGAAGAGTGAGTGTAGGAGACATGTGAGATAAACGTGAGAGAAGAAGAGGACCTACCTCTCCTTCAGATATTGAATTTGTTTGTTGAATGTCATTTTAGAATCTATCCACACTCCGAGATATTGATATTGTGTAACCTACTGAAGGTCAATGTCTTGAATGCGTAAGTGCCTGTCTGGAGTGTTGTCACCTAGTCTCATTGCCTTAGACTTCTGTGCAGATATTTTTAGCCCTAAAATGTTGCATTCATCTGTTACTTTATCTAATGCTCCTTGTGCCTTATTTAAAACTGAAGGACCTGTGGCTACTTATGCTATATCATCAGCATAGCTTAGCAATGTAACCCCTTTGCAAATGTCATGGTAACGAGATTTTCCACAAAGATGATAAAAAGAATGGGACTGAGGACTCCTCCTTGTGGAGTCCCATTCTCATGCACGTGGTAGTCCGACACTTGTCCTTGCAACTCTACTCTGGCATACCTGTGACTTAGGCAATCTTGAATCCATGTTAACATATTTCCCTAAACACCTTTTTTAACTAAGGTGTGTAAAATTGCTTGCGGGCTTGCAAAGTTCGAATGCTTTTTCTAGATCAAAGAAGATGACTATAGCTAGACTTGAGGTAACTGTTCCTAGTAATGTTGCTATGCAGTTGACAGTACCTACGACTCTAGAGAAGCCAAATATGTGTTTATGAAGGTCTCCAGTTACCCCACAGTAGCCTATTTAAGACCATCCATTCTGCAGTTTTACTAATGTATGATGTTAATGAAATGGGGCTGTAATTGCCAGGTTCTTTCGGCTTAGGAATCGGAATATGGACACTGCTTGACAAAAACAGTGGGTTTTCTGTGGGAAGAAAACATATGACTAAAGAGTTGCGTCTAAGCTGTGTGCGCAACGAGCGGGGGTTATACTTAAAGCGCGCCTGCAGAGGTCGTGACCACGGGAGAGTATCTTGAGATTATCTTGAGATGATTTTGGGGCTTTTTTTTAGTGTCCCCACGGCTCGGTCCTCGACCAGGCCTCCACCCCCAGGAAGCAGCCCGTGACAGCTGACTAACACCCAGGTACCTATTTTACTGCTAGGTAACAGGGGCATAGGGTGAAAGAAACTCTGCACATTGTTTCTCGCCGGCGCCTGGGATCGAACCCAGGACCACAGGATCACAAGTCCAGCGTGCTGTCCGCTCGGCCGACCGGCTCGGTGAGCCCGAGACATATCCCGGCACGCAGGGTGCAGTTGCACCTCCACAGATCTTCAGTATCAGCTCTTGATACTGGTAATGGCTCAAAAGGGCCACCACTTACGGGCTATTCATGCCCGTGCCACCTTTTGGGTGGCTTAATCTTCATCAATCAATCAGGTCGTGACCTCTGTTTGCCCTCGACCGCAGCCGCTTCTCAACCAAAACGGCGCACCTCTGCCAACCTGCTACACGTGTCTACGACGCCAAGTACCTTAATTAGACGTCCATTTGTTCACCATCGAGAGAGAGAGAGAGAAGATTAAGCTACCCAAAAGGTGGCATGGGCATGAATAGCCCATAAGTGGTGGCCCTCTTGAGCCATTTCCAGTATCAATAGATGATACTGGAGATCTGTGGAGGTGCAACTGCACCCTGCGTGACGGGAGATGTCTCCCGTGTGTTGTTGATTGATTGATGAAGATTAAGCCACCCAAAAGATGGCACGGGCATGAATAGCCCGTAAGTGGTGGCCCTTTTGAGCCATCACCAGTATCAATAGATGATACTGGAGATCTGTGGAGGTGCAACTGCACCCTGCGTGACGGGAGATGTCTCCCGTGGAGTGCGTGTGTTGTTGTTCACCATCGACATATATAGCTACCTATACCGGCCCACGTCGCCCTCCGAGGGCAGTTCGCACGGGACTCTTGATTGCTGCCCGCCACACTAAGGTTCAAGTTTTTACTCTATGCTGAGGCGATCCGTGTTTGCACCGTTCTTGTGTCAGGTAAGTCCACTACGGGCTCACCATAGCCTCTGCAACTTGCCCCGCTCCTGTGCCAGGTAAGTTACGGGCTCACCTTAGCCCGTGCTACTTGGAACATTGTTCCGAGTAGCTGAATCTATAACAACAACAACGATCCGCGTTCCCCCTGTTTAGGCCCCGGTCCCAGTGTGTTTACGTACGTGTGCCTAGCGTAATGTGTACTTGCCCGGGCGCGTGTAGCTCCTGCATGCATGCTCTTAGTTGCCCTCCCTCCTCCACTCCGTTCCAGCCTCCGTATCTAAGACTGTTTCTGGACCCGCGAGACGGGGGACTGGTCGAACGGGCCGCGTTTTGGTTGAGCGGGCCATGTGTTGGTCAGGTAGATTTGATTGTTGCGCGGTCAGGTAGCCCACGTGCTAACCGGCTCGCCTGGACCCGCACGCCGGGTTGAAGCCTCCTTCCCACGCCCAGGCATGGTGTCCACACGCTAGCTTGAGCACGCATCATGAGATGGCGTTGCGCCCATGTGTGTTGTTGAGCACGCCCTCGCTGGGTGACAACATTACCCATGCCATACCTATCCTGCGTCTACGGGCTCTATTCTTGGATTACGAGCTCTATCCCAGGCTTCTGGGCTCTACCCTCTACAAGCTCCTTCTTGGCCTATGGGCTCTATCACCGGACCTATGGGCTCTATATACGGCCTTCGGGCTCTATTACCCGGCCTACGGCCTCTGTCCTCGGCCTACGGGCTCCTCCTGGCCTAAGGGGCCTTTCTTTGGCTGGTGGGCTCTATCCCTGGACTACGAGCTCTATCCCGGGCTTTCAGGCTCTATTCACGACCTGCGGGCTCTCTCCCCTGGCCTATACTTGGCCTACGGGCTCTGTCTTGGCCCACAGGCTCTTTTCTCAGACTACGAGCCCTGCGGGCTCTATTCCACTACGGGCTCTATTCCCGGCCCGCGGGCTCTATTCCCGGCCTCAGGCTCCTCCCACGGCCTACGGCCCTACGCTTGGTCCGCGGGCTCTTTCCGGGCCTACGGGCTCTGTCCTTGGCCCACGGGCTCTATTCCCGGCCTCAGGCTCCTCCCACGGCCTACGGCCCTACGCTTGGTCCGCGGGCTCTTTCCGGGCCTACGGGCTCTGTCCTTGGCCCACGGGCTCTATTCTTGGCCTCCGAGCTCTACTCCAGGCCTATGGGCTCAATTTCACTGCGGGCTCGTTTTCTTGGCCTATGGGCTCCTTTCCCGGCCCGCGGGCTCTATTCTAATACGGGCTCCATTCTCGACCTACGGGCTCTATCCACAGCCCGCGGGCCCCCTTCCGGACCTAAGGGCTTTCGTGCTCTTTCCAGGCCCACGAGCTCTTTCTCCAGGCCTGCAGGCTCTATTCTTGGCCTATGGGCCTACACTGCTCCTCCATGCTCTACGTGGGGACCCACAGTTTCCTTAAGCCCCTGGCAGGGCCACTTCCCCACAGCCTTATGCCCTGGCAGGGCCACTTCCCCGCAGCCTTATGCCCTGGCTGGGCCACTTCCCCGCAGCCTTATGCCCAGGCTGGGCCACTTCCCCGCAGCCTTATGCCCAGGCTGGGCCACTTCCCCGCAGCCTTATGCCCTGGCAGGGCCACTTCCCCGCAGCCTTATGCCCAGGCTGGGCCACTTCCCCGCAGCCTTATGCCCAGGCTGGGCCACTTCCCCGCAGCCTTATGCCCAGGCTGGGCCACTTCCGTTTCCCTGACACGGGCGCTTCTCTACGCCGACGTGGCCACCACAGTCTGCTAGCCCCAGGCCGGGCCACTCCGTTTTACTGACCTAGGCTGGGATATTTCAGTTATTATGTCCCAGGGTGGGCCATTTTAGTTTATTATGTCTCAGGGCAGGCCACTTCAGCTTACTATGTCCCAGGGCAGGCCACTTCAGCTTACTATGTCCCAGGGTGGGCCACTTCAGCTTACTATGTCCCAGGGCAGGCCACTTCAGCTTACTATGTCCCAGGGTGGGCCACTTCAGCTTACTATGTCCCAGGGTGGGCCACTTCAGCTTACTATGTCCCAGGGTGGGCCACTTCAGCTTACTATGTCCCAGGGTGGGCCACTTCAGCTTACTATGTCCCAGGGTGGGCCACTTCAGCTTACTATGTCCCAGGGTGGGCCACTTCAGCTTACTATGTCCCAGGGCAGGCCACTTCAGCTTACTATGTCCCAGGGTGGGCCACTTCAGCTTACTATGTCCCAGGGTGGGCCACTTCAGCTTACTATGTCCCAGGGTGGGCCACTTCAGCTTACTATGTCCCAGGGCAGGCCACTTCAGCTTACTATGTCCCAGGGTGGGCCACTTCAGCTTACTATGTCCCAGGGTGGGCCACTTCAGCTTACTATGGCCCAGGGCAGGCCACTTCAGCTTACTATGTCCCAGGGTGGGCCACTTCAGCTTACTATGTCCCAGGGTGGGCCACTTCAGCTTACTATGTCCCAGGGTGGGCCACTTCAGCTTACTATGTCCCAGGGTGGGCCACTTCAGCTTACTATGTCCCAGGGTGGGCCACTTCAGCTTACTATGTCCCAGGGTGGGCCACTTCAGCTTACTATGTCCCAGGGTGGGCCACTTCAGCTTACTATGTCCCAGGGTGGGCCACTTCAGCTTACTATGTCCCAGGGTGGGCCACTTCAGCTTACTATGTCCCAGGGCAGGCCACTTCAACTTACTATGTCCCAGGGTGGGCCACTTCAGCTTACTATGTCCCAGGGTGGGCCACTTCAGCTTACTATGTCCCAGGGTGGGCCACTTCAGCTTACTATGTCCCAGGGTGGGCCACTTCAGCTTACTATGTCCCAGGGTGGGCCACTTCAGCTTACTATGTCCCAGGGTGGGCCACTTCAGCTTACTATGTCCCAGGGTGGGCCACTTCAGCTTACTATGTCCCAGGGTGGGCCACTTCAGCTTACTATGTCCCAGGGCAGGCCACTTCAACTTACTATGTCCCAGGGTGGGCCACTTCAGCTTACTATGTCCCAGGGTGGGCCACTTCAGCTTACTATGTCCCAGGGTGGCCCACTTTAGCTTACTATGTCCCAGGGTGGGCCACTTCAGCTTACTATGTCCCAGGGTGGGCCACTTCAGCTTACTATGTCCCAGGGTGGGCTACTTCAGCTTACTATGTCCCAGGGTGGGCCACTTCAGCTTACTATGTCCCAGGGTGGGCCACTTCAGCTTACTATGTCCCAGGGCAGGCCACTTCAACTTACTATGTCCCAGGGTGGGCCACTTCAGCTTACTATGTCCCAGGGTGGGCCACTTCAGCTTACTATGTCCCAGGGTGGCCCACTTTAGCTTACTATGTCCCAGGGTGGGCCACTTCAGCTTACTATGTCCCAGGGTGGGCCACTTCAGCTTACTATGTCCCAGGGTGGGCTACTTCAGCTTACTATGTCCCAGGGTGGGCCACTTCAGCTTACTATGTCCCAGGGTGGGCCACTTCAGCTTACTATGTCCCAGGGTGGGCCACTTCAGTATATTATGTCCCAGGGTGGGCCACTTCTATTTATTATGTCCCAGGGCAGGCCACTTCAACTTACTATGTCCCAGGGTGGGCCACTTCAGCTTACTATGTCCCAGGGTGGGCCACTTCAGCTTACTATGTCCCAGGGTGGCCCACTTTAGCTTACTATGTCCCAGGGTGGGCCACTTCAGCTTACTATGTCCCAGGGTGGGCCACTTCAGCTTACTATGTCCCAGGGTGGGCTACTTCAGCTTACTATGTCCCAGGGTGGGCCACTTCAGCTTACTATGTCCCAGGGTGGGCCACTTCAGCTTACTATGTCCCAGGGTGGGCCACTTCTATTTATTATGTCCCAGGGTGGGCCACTTCAGTATATTATGTCCCAGGGTGGGCCACTTCAGTATATTATGTCCCAGGGCGGGCCACTTCAGTATATTATGTCCCAGGGCGGGCCACTTCAGTATATTATGTCCCAGGGTGGGCCACTTCAGTCTATTATGTCCCAGGGCGGGCCACTTCAGTATATTATGTCCCAGGGTGGGCCACTTCAGTATATTATGTCCCAGGGCGGGCCACTTCAGTATATTATGTCCCAGGGCGGGCCACTTCAGTATATTATGTCCCAGGGCGGGCCACTTCAGTATATTATGTCCCAGGGCGGGCCACTTCAGTTTCAAATCAAATCAAATGTTTATTTAGGTAAGGTACATACAGTTAGTTTAGTTCATTTATTATGCACCCCATACCCATCTTGTGGGCGGTAGTGGAAAGGGTTACAGAGGCACATAATGGGCTCAGGGACTGAACCCCACAATTCATTTAGCTAAGCAAGTTACAATCTTGATGAGCTAGTTACAAAATTCAATATAAGTCGTCACATCAACAATGGGTTCGAGATCGACCTCAAGTACAGGTTCTAAATTAAGCAACTGACATATGTGGAGAGCTAGTGTCAAAATTGATATGTTTGTCCTGCACACCGCCCCCCATCCAGTGGGCAGCGGTGGATAGGTTACAATCACTTAGTTACTACCTACAGTTAGCAAACTGGGGATATTTGGCTAAAATTTCTGGTAGCAGATCATTTTGAATGAAATATTGACACATCGCTGGAACATTGGTTATAGAATTGTCTCTAAATTCACGTATCTTTTTGCACCCCATCACATAGTGACGGAGGGTGTGCGAATAGTTTTGTTGACACAGTTTACATTTGGTCAGGTCTACATCAGCAGATAATGAGAATTCCCAGAGATACTTGTAACCGAGTCTAAGCCGAGCAGTAGTAACATCTAGAAGTCTGCTGATTTTATTGGATGATCCGTAGATGTGTGGCTCCTCTTGCATGATAGTATGATGATGGAATTACTGGTGTCAATTTCACTTTGCCTCAGATCTACAAGATCCTGTTGAAGTTCTCGGTGTACTGCTGCTCTCAGATTGCTCATTGACAATCCAAGGTTACACTCAACGGCTCCTTTAAAGGCAGATTCTTTGGCTAACTTATCAGCTCTATCAAGCATTCGGAGGCCAACATGAGATGGAGACCACATGAAATGGACTCTGTTACCATCCTTATACAAGATATTTTACAAAGAGTGATGGATTTATAGATAGGGCTAGTACATACAATGCCTAAAGCCACTATTACGCAAAGCGTTTCGGGCATGAAAAACTTAAATGACTAAAGCTTAATACTAATTGAGCATAAAGAATAAAATGAAAACATGGAATGAAAACATAGCTGAAAAAGCAGCACAAATACAATTCTGTCGACAAACAGCGCTCTTTAAAAAAAAAAAACAGACATTGGTTGACAACAGAGGGGTAAGGTAGGTTACAGGGAATTTATTAGGTATAGCTTCGTTTTTATCTTAAACTGGTTGAGAGAGGTACAGTCTTTAACATGGTTGGGAAGGTCATTCCACAATCTGGGTACCTTGATTTGAAGAGCATTTCTAGTTTGATTAAGTCGTACTCTAGGAATATCAAAACTGTATTTATTTCTGGTGTGGTGCTCATGGGTTCTGTTACAACCTTCTATGAAGCTTTTGAGGTCAGGATTGGCATTACAGTTTAGCGTTTTATATATGTATAATACACATGAGAGAATGTGCAGTGACTTAATGTCTAACATATTCAGAGATTTCAGTAGGGGTACCGAGTGATGTCTGGGGCCAGAGTTGGATATTGTCCTAATAGCAGCTTTGTGTTGAGTAATTAGAGGACGTAAATGATTTTGGGTAGTAGAACCCCAAGCACAAATACCATAGTTGAGATAAGGATAGATGAGAGAGTAATAGAGTGTCACTAGGGCAGGGCGGGGTACATAATATCTGATCTTAGAAAGAATGCCAACAGTTTTTGAAACTTTTTTTGATATATTTAGAATGTGTCCCTGGAAATTCAGCTTGTGGTCAATGAGACTGCCAAGGAATTTGCCATCTAATTTGTTACAAATTTGGGTATTGTTTATTTTGAGATTTATTTGATTAGAGGATTTATTGCCAAACAGAATATAGAAAGTTTTGTCAATGTTAAGGATGAGTTTGTTGGCAGTTAGCCAAAGATGGACTTTATTTAGCTCAGTATTTACTGTGGCATTTAGAGCAAGGGGGTTAGGACTGGAGTAAATGAAGGTTGTGTCGTCAGCAAATAGAATTGGTTTGAGGTGTTGGGAGGCATTTGGAAGGTCGTTAATGTAGATGAGAAAGAGGAGAGGGCCAAGTATGCTGCCCTGAGGAACACCAATGTTGATGGGTAAGGTGGGAGAAATTGAATTATTCACAGAAACATACTGGAGCCTGTTAGTAAGGTAGGATTTGAGGTATTGCAGGGAGTGTCCTCTGACTCCATAATGATGTAATTTAAGAAGAAGGTTTTGGTGGTTGACAGTGTCAAAAGCCTTACGCAGGTCCACAAATAACCCAACAGGGAACTCATTTTTATCAAGAACTGTATGAATCGAGTTAAGCATACTAATAAGTGCATCGTTAGTGCTTTTTTGGGTCTGAAGCCATATTGGCAAGGGCTAAGTATATTGTGTTTGGCTAGATAAGAGTAAAGCTGCTTGTAGATTAGTTTTCAAAAATTTTTGACAAGTTTGGCAGGATTGATATAGGTCTGTAGTTGTTAACATCTGTGAGATCACCACATTTGTGGACAGGCGTTACTCTCGCTTTTTTTAGAATATCTGGAAAGATTTGGAGTTCAAGTGACTTGTTGAAGAGCAAAGCAATAGCAGGGGCTAAAGATCTGGAGGCTTTTTTGTAGATTAAAGTTGGTATCTCCTCAAGGGCACCAGACTTGGTTTTAAGGGAAAGGATTATCTCATTGACGTCAGTGGAATTAATAGGCTTTAGGTACAGAGACTGTGGATAGTTACCTGTAAGATAGTCCTTAACGTCAGTACTGGAAGATGGAATATCATTTGCAAGGGATGACCCAATGGAAGAGAAGAACCTATTGAACTCAATAGCAGAATCTGAGGCTGAAAGCTGACCATCGTTATTGGACAGGATTATTGGTTTGTTATTTAAAGTCTTCTTTGATCCCAATATTTGTGAAATTGTGCTCCAAGTTTTTTTAATGTTGCTCTTTATTTGGGTAAATTTATCTTCGTAGTATTTAGTTTTGGCTCGCCTAATTATCTTAGATAGCAATAACGAGTAATTCTTTGAGAATTCTTTGGAGACAATTCCTAACCTATACTTCTTCTCAAGGTCATGTTTTTTATTAATGGATTTAAGTATTCCCTTTGTAAGCCAGGGACTGTTAAGCCATTTGGTTGTGACTTATTTTGTAAGCATAGGACAGTGGGTGTTATAAAGGCTGAGAGTTTTTTGAAGAAAAGATTGCACTGCTAGGTTGATGTCCCCTATGTTACCTATCTCGGACTCCCAGTTGACATTATCAGCAGCAATTATAAAATTGTCTATAGCAGTTTCATTGTGCAGCCTAAAACTTAACTCCCTTGACTCTAGAGGTGGTTTGCTAATGTTAGTTAGGAGAAATGTGGGGTAATGGTCTGTAGTGCTATCGGTGATTATACCTGAAGTAAGCGGAGAGGTTATGTTTGTCCAGATGTGATCTAGAGTCGTGGCAGTACTATCAGTGATTCTAGTTGGTCTAGTGATTAAGGGTATGAGGAAGCAGGAATTCATACAGTTGAGGAAGCTAACAGCAGTAGGGTGTTCAGGCTCGCAGAGGTCAATATTAAAGTCCCCTGCGATAATTAGATGGTTTTTGTTCAGTCTGTTATCTAGTATTAGATTTCTAAGGTTTGAATTGAATTCGGACACATCAGTGTTAGGAATTCTATAGACTGCACCCACAGACAGGACAGACTCGGCACCCTTGACTCTGAAGCTGGCGAAGATATACTCCCCACAGCAGTCCCTAGTTCTAATTACTTTTAAGCATGTTAGTTCTTGGTGGTAGTAAAGAGCAGTGCCACCACCTCTCTGAAGTTGACGACAGTTGTGAATTGCCGAGTAGTTAGGCATGTTAAAGAGTTGAGTAGTATCCTCTTTCAACCATGTTTCAGTAAGTATAATAAAAG